CTATGATAATTAAGACAGTGTCATTCAATTAAGATAGACATAACTGACCAAAGGAACAGAACAGAGTCCAGAAACAGTTCGGACCATACACAGAAAACTGATCTGCAAGTTAAGTGACTTTGCACATCACTGGGAAAAATAATGACTATTCAATAAAAAGACTGACTATTCAATAGTCATATTCTAATGAAAAACTCTAATGAAGTACCTAAAGAAAATACTCTAATAAAAAACCTCTCACCAGAGACATAAATAAATAAGATGGATCAAGAGCTTAAATATAAAAGGCAAAATTGAAATAGCCAAACAGACCAATAAAAAATGGGCAAAAGATATGAGCAGTCATTTCACAGAAGGGAAAATATAAATGGCCAATACGAAATATAAAAATTTCTCAAGCTTACTAGTAATTAGAAAAATAAATTATTAATAAGGTACAATTTCTCACTTAACATATTACCAAAAATTAAAATAAAGACAAGACAAAAGTTAACGAGAATGCTATGCAACATAATTTTTGTATTTTGTTGGTAGAAGTATAAACTAGTAACTTAAAAATAATTTAACTCGGGCCGGCCCGGTGGCGCACTGGAGAGTGCGCTGCTTGGGAGTGCGGCGGCGCTCCCGCCGAGGGTTCGGATCCCATGTGGAGACCGGTTCCCACTCACTGGCTGAGCGCAGTGCGGGTGCAACACCGAGGGTTGCCGGTCCCCGGTACGGGCGTGACACCGAGGGTTGTGATCCCATTACCGGTCAGTAAAAAGACAAAAAGGAAAAAATAAAATAAAAAAATAATAATAATTTAACTCTATCTATCTAGTAATGAAAATGTAAATATCTTAAGACAGCAAAACTATTCTTAGATATAGACTCCCAAGTTTTCTTTCATTTTTGCACAAGAACTGGAAAAAGGCCAAATGTTCATCAAAGTAGAAGAGACAAAAAAAGGTTGCTTATTTATACAATGGAATACTATGCATCAAGGAAAGCTAATGATCTAAATAATCTATCTGCACCAACATGAACTAATTTTAAAAACATAATAATGTTTAGTTTTGCTTGTTTCAAAATACATATCGAGTCACAAAAAAAAAAAAAACATGTGGTATCATCCCACTGATACGCATTTAAAAACAAGCAAAAAATAAACCATTTTTTATAGGATAGTACGTAGGAAAACATGTACATATAAAATTATAGAGAAAATCAGGAAAGTGAGTAACAAAATTTAGGAGAATGATTACATTTGCAATGACAAGAAAAAGGTGTAATTAGGGAGGAACATGGATAGGGAACTTCAAAACTATTGGAAGTGCCACTTTTCTTAAGTTGAGTCACATGCTTTGTCACACAATTAATGGGTGAGACATGCTGGGTGATAGTTTAATTTTTATTATTTAACTAATAATATACATTATACACACATAGTTATGTACATATATATGCACATACATATAATTCTTCCTCTTCTGAAACACACAATCCACTAAATGTGCAGAAATCACACTGCCCTCTTTGTGCTGAACTGTGAAAATTGGAACTTGGGGAAAAGACACAAGAAAGTGCTAATTCTTCAGCTGCTGCTACTGTTGTAATAAAGTCCTTTGTCTCTGGCCCAGGAGTTTCCTGTCTTCTATCAGCATCCATGAGACTGTGATGGGCTAACTTACTATTTTGCAGGTAGAGCAAAATCTTGGACTGTGCAGTTTTTGACAAGATTAGGACATCTTGTTTATAAAAAGAAGATAAGAGGTTCAGTACAGCATGGTGAAAAACTACCTAAATCGGTGTTAGTTAATATGGGTTTTAGCATTCGTTTAGGTACAAAATATGAATGAGATCTAGGATAGCTTTTAGTTTCTCAAAGTCTAAAAGTATGGATGTAATGGAAAAAACAACATGAAATGCACAGTCACGAAAGAAGAAATGTGAAAAAGAATGTAACTACATAAATGTTAAAGATACGAATTGTGATGACAGCAAGTACAAAGTTTATTTCATCTTTATTGAGCTATTTATCTGTAATATACCATAAAATGAAAATTCTCTTTTAACTTGTAGATCAAAGAGAAAATAAAGAACCCCACGAAGAAGTTTAAGTAAAATATTTTCATGATATACAAATACCATTGAAGTGAAAAATCTTCAGTAAGACCACCCAACCTTGACATGTGTATTCATGTGGGATTTAAAGAGTAATATTTGTATGACATACAGTAGGTGGTCTTTTGTGTGGGTGAAATATTCCAGCTGACTTTGGTTCACGAACATTTCTAAGAGAATTATGATGAATTCCTACCTGGCAAGGCATAAGGTTAGCCAAAATTTTTAATTCTGCTTTCAGAACTGTATTCCTTCTTTGTGAAGAAATACTCAAATTTAGTCCTGTGTGTTTGTGTGTGTGTGTGTGTGTGTGTGTGTGTATCCATATATGTATCTAGGTAATATGTACCCATGGATACAGCTTTTTCTTTTAATAGCTTATTGTTTATCTTATTGATTTACCTTATGTATCCAGGTAATATGTACCCATGGATACAGCTTTTTCTTTTAATAGCTTATTGTTTATCTTATTGATTTACCTGTCAGAATTCTGAAATATAAGATTTTTAGCACTAATGGTAACAGGTTTTCTGGCAAACTGCATTTTTTATGTAGCTTGTTGTTCTCTATTGCTTATTTTAAATGGTTTTATTCTATATACTTGTTAACAATAAATCATCTCAAACCATTTTAGAAGTAGGTGGAAAATAATGACTGTATACGTACATCTATGTGTCTTCTGATTTTAAATGAAGACTTTAAAAGAAATATAGTTTAAGGTTGTAAATTTCTTAGATCATCAGAAAAACAAAACAGAACAAAAGATGCCATTTAAAAACAGATCATCAAAATGAAGCAACATGAAAGACTATAACAGTGGTTACACTCTGTTGGAATTTCAAGTATGATAACTTACTTGCATATGTCATCTTCTGGGTCTTCAAGCCCAAATCTTTCATCAAATGTAAGCTGTATCCACACATTTTCCTCTACTGCTACTAATCTCCATACCAAGACCATATTTCTTGGATAAGTATGAGGAAACCTTGGGCTGTGAATACTTCCATTACTAGACACAGTAATAATTCTCTCATGCTGGGGATCTTGTACTCCTAAAGCAAAAACAGACATAGACATATATTTAGAACAGACACTTCAAAAATTATAGGTTCCAAAATATTTTTTTTTATCATTCAGATGTTACCCCAAATAACTGTTGAGTATCTTTTATATGATATAAACCAACAACCACTATTCCCAGAATTTACCCAGAAAAAAATGATTATTATAACATTATTAAATAAAATCCTTTGTATATTTGAAAGAACAGAGCAAACCAGTCTTTTCAAATGTATTACTGAAATGTTCACTACCAATTTCTGTGGATTCCTAAAATCACAATAAAGTTGAGTTAAGATTCTAATCTCCAAAAAGTTATGAAACATGAGTCTCATAAGAATAAAAATAAACTTGATGTAATTCTATTTTTAAAAATATGACGATTAAAATACCTAATTTAAAAATAAGAACTGCAGAACTACAGTCAACTTAAAAATGTGAATTAATTTTATATATGACAAAATTTGAGGATATTGAGATAGTTGAGTAAAAAGAAATGTGAGGATGAAAGAGGCAGAAGTGGAGTCATATTAGAGGGGGTCACCAGCTTTTTCAATGACCTTTGAAATGTCAATTAACATTACACACCACACACCATTTACAGCTTTTTACTTACTCTTTATTCCTGATGTTTAGAAACTGAGCTGACAAAATGATCTTAATAACAGCTTGTTATTTGGACCCATAACTTCTGAAAAAAAGGTATCTAATATAAGTTCATAGTTTCATATGAAACTGGAATTACTATATAACTTCAAATCTTAAATGACCTTGGAAAATAAAACAAGGTCACAATGATGGTCTCATCTTCCTTTTATAAGGGAATTATTAGCACTACATGAAATATGAAAATAAAAGAAATGTTGCAGGACTTCTCAGTTCCTTAAAATGCTAATATAAATTTTGAAATTCTCAGGGAAGAGTATAGTATACAATACCTTTCAAGTTTATTAGGCATGGAATCTTTTTATAGCTGTGAAATGCTAAAATACATTGTTAATAGTGTCACTCTTTCTTTTGTTTAGACTGTTGGGGAGAGAATTGAAAGACGGGCAAATTGGAATTGCTGAGAAAAAAAAGTGTGCTTATAGTCACCCAGTTGTGAGTTAGTAATGAGAACACACAACTGATATTTATAAAATGGGCAGTCATTTATCCACTCAAAAAAACCTAAGAATTAAAATATGTTCTTAGATTTTTATGCTAAATTCATGGGCTTCCGGCCATGAAAATCCATTTAAGCATGCTACATTCCAATAAAAAAACTTAAAACTAATATCATTTCATAAAATAATTTAAAAATCCTAAACTGGACCCTGAACACATAAAGAAATGTGCATGGCAGGATATCTGGCATTTATTTTTTTTGGTGCAATTTTTATGTACTCATAATATCAGTACAACAGTTTTAACTATAGCAATGCCTCACTGGTTTTGATGATTTAGCATATGCTGCACAATACTGAATTTTATAACTGCACTAAGATCTCATCAAGAGATTAAGAATATCATTACTTTGTAAGTACTATTTATTATTCATTATCATCCTTTATTCATTCATTAGCTCTTCTCCCACAATCTCTTGTATATTCAGGGTTACTTGTGGAAATAAAACAAATTTCATTGTATTAACTCCTTTTGGGTATGTCCCATCAAACAATGCTACATATAGTATACAAAGGCCTATTAAATCATGACATTCTAGACTAAACTCTACATTTTTCTTCTTTCTTTTTCTTTCTATTGTAGTTTTCTGCCCTTTTCTCGTCTCTATTTCTTTGATTTCCCATAACCTAAGTCTCTTTTAGTCAACCAACTCCCTAGTCCTCTGTTTCTGTACTCAAAATCTTAGACTCTGTATGTTCTCTCATTGACTTCATACCAGTGATCTCCCTTCCTCTGGGGTTGGCAGAATTCTAAGATGGTCCCCAATGTGAATAATCCTCCCCTTGAGTGTGTGGAACCTGATGGGGACATTACTCCCAGGATTAGGTTAGTTGAGTTTGAGTTAATCAAAAGGTAGATGATTTGGGTGAGCTGGACCTAATCTATTACACCCATGAATAAACGGGGTCCTTCTTAAACTCAGAGAAATTCAAAGTGTGAGATGGATTCAACAGAAAATTCTTTGTTGCTGGCTTTGAAAATGGAGGCAGCTCGGTACCAAGGGATGTGTGAAGTCTCTGGAAACCAAGAGCCGTCTATGGCTGAAGCCGGCAAGGAAATGGGGCCCTAAAACATCAAGGAACTGGAATGAGCAGAGAAGCAGATTCTTCTCCACGGCCTCCAGAAAGGAGTCCAGTCTGCTTGATACCTTGGTTTTACTCTCGTGAAGATCCTGATTAAGAACCCAGTCACCCAGTGCCTGGACTTCTGACCTATAGAACTGAGAGTTAACAAAGGGTGTTTTAAGCTGCTAAATTTGTGGTAATTTCTTATATATTATTAGAAAACTAATACAACTTCCTATTGTGCACAAAGCTGTTTGGATTACAATGCTTTCTTTTGGCACCAAAAGTTTAGCATTAGTGACAGTAGTTGCAGCAACTTTTCATTCAGCATTATGTTAGTCAAAATATGTTAACATTATTTCACATTCACAAAATATAATTTAAGAATATTGCTCTAAGAAATTTTTGAATTTAAGAGAAAGTTAATGTCAAAAGTCATGTATTAGTTAGGGTATTATTTAGGTTAAAGAAAAACCTGTTTTACCCTAAACTACTCAAAGTAATTTTAACTAGTTGTATTTATGATTTTAAAATGAAATAATTTAATGTCACCATTCTTCTCATGCATATACTTTTCCTCAGCAGTAAGCACCTTATACAGAAACATGTTCCCTCTTAATGGATGCTAATATTTGATACTGCCATTGGCTATATATAACATATATTAAATAATCATTACTGCTTCTGTGAACATAATTCAGCCCCAGCATGCCTCTTGAGAACCCAGAAAGATCTATCAAGTTAGATGAATTCTCCCCACACTGATAAATTTTATTTTAAAAAATTATGATCATTTATTGTGAAGATTAAATTCATAAACTATCTTTTAGTATTTCTTTTAAAAATGAGTATCTCCCTACTCTAATTTTCTTCCAATAATTTACATATTTCAGATGTGCTTATAGTAGTAGTTTATAACGAGTCCTTCTCTTTTTGGCAACTAAGATTTTTTAATAGATTAATTTTTAAATCAGATTTATTAAAATTTAATATTTATTCCATTCCGAATACAGCAGTGTTTACTTTTTCATAGGTATGTAGTTTTTAGAAAACTACATACCTATTAAATATCTGAATTCTATTTTTAGATTTTCAGTCAAAAAAGATCATAGCTAAAATGCATGTGTTTAAATTTGTGTTTATATCATCTTTTTTTTCTTCTATAAGTCACAATTTCATTTGACTATAATCAAACATAATTTAAAAACTGAAAATCTAGTCCTCATTTGTGGTTTAAAAAAATTTCAAAATTCCTTTAAGTTAAATTGCTGCACCCCAAAAATTCACATCAAAATGCAGGGAGGTTTGCCACTAGACACATATGATTTGCAGATGACTGTCAAAGTTTTATGTAAATCTCAAGAATGTAGGCCTACAATCAAAAGGAAGAAAAAAGAAGGAACAAACATTAAGTTCTACCAAATTAAGACTTGGCTGTTACAGTTCTGTTGTTTTAACAGCCATCTTTTTAAACATTTAACTTCACTAATATTTTATAGATGAGACAAGTGTACATTTTGTGACTATTTTACTGAATGTTTGCTTTTGCTATATCCAACGGATAGTATACTCAAAGCACCAACGAAATAAAAGAAATGTTTGTACTCAAATCACTAAAATACTTACAACGTAGTCCTTGCAATGTACATTGAGATAATAATAAATCTGTACGTCTTAGATAATAAGTTTAGCTTTAAAAAATATTATATGTAAACATTAATTTTTAAAGTTATTATACACAATTTCATATCACCTTGCTCAACCCCTCTTAAGATAGAAGTATTAAAACTAAAATGAAGCAAAATAGAAAATAAAAGGAAGTGAGATTAATAATGTAAATATGATAAAATTGTTGGCTATATGTGTACATATACAATTTAATTATATAGTGTCATTCCTAGACTAGCCATCTTAGTAAACTAATACTCAACTAACAAAACCAGTTCAGATGTTACCTCTTTTAGAATGTAATCGTTGATACCTGTTGCACATTCCTTTAGGATTGCATATTTTAATCATAATGTATAGGTTCACTTTTCCTTCTTTTCTACCACCCCAAGATTCCTAGAAGGTAAAACTGTCTTCACTGAAGTCCATAACTAGTATCTAGCTCCGTGTCTGGCACATGGCACTGCCTAACACATACTGATAGTGTAAAGAAACTAGCTATCCCAAAACATGGCAGAAAGCAATTTTACACTCTATTTCAACATTTTATCCTGCATTCCTAAGTTTCCAGAGACTGTACATGATAAAGATAATATTTTACAATCTATATCCCCCAACTAAAGTCCTTTAATTCACATTTGATATATTACTCAAAGTTCATCTGTTATACCCTATATTTCGGCAGAAGATGGTATGTTTTAGAGTACTTATTATTGATATTTGCCACTTTCTTAATATGCCTGCTTATTTTCAAAAATAAAACATGCTCTATAATTTTATCATACTTTGAGAATGTCACAAATATAGTCAGTATTTTATCTAAACTCTGAAATATGAATCAATAGATAATAATATGGTTTTTTTGGAAGTCACTTGATAATCTGATATTATTTTTTATACACTGAGATAAACACAGGTTGTTTTAAAACTAAAATGAAATGATATTTGTATACAATAAGACAATCACAAATCAATATATAAGTGAAGGAAAAGCACTGTCCATCAAATTCTGTCTAATTCAAATAGAATAAGAAAGAAAATTTACAAACAAATACGAGTTTCCTGATATCAGCAAATAGGAGACTGTTATGTAA